AGGCTTTCCCGAGGTTCATTTACATTTTACTTGTGACAGACCCAGTTCTTTAGTCGCCGCCAGACTTTGTGACGTGTTCCCTAATGGCGAATCTGCGCTAATAACAAGAGGTATGTACACTCAACAAAGCTGCAGCGATAGGAAAGCACAATGCTAATGTATGCCCTTTCTCCGGAAAAAGTCGAAGGAATACAGAATCGGCTGAGAGTTTAAGGTCTAAACGCATAATTTTCTCCTTATTTCCTGTTGCGCAACAAAACTTAAATGTTCAGATGGTATTTAAGATATATAAGAAATAAATAACAATAGAAAGTGAGTTTAGAGTGTTTAAGTAGGAAAAATTTTTGTCTCAAATCACTTAACGCAAAACAGCACTTCTTCCCTTCAGACGTGAAACCCAATCTGAAAATCCCGCGCCAAGAGCTATGTCACGCGATATTTTGACGTTTTGCCTTTCGTGGTAATCGATAAAAATCCTAAGACTTAAAGTCACTATTAGTTGATCTTCACGCCGAGTTCAACCTCTTTGGATGATGTTAAAATATTTTATTATTTAATTTTCTCGCAGGAGTGCTTAACTTGACTCATCTCCGTGGTCATTCATCAGGAGATATTCAGCCTCTTCAGCCTAATGAAAGCTATCGTGCGCAGTTGAGGCTTGACTCTACAGCTTACACTGTTGCTGCTGGTCATAAAATTCGCCTGGCACTTTCCTCAGTTCACTGGCCGTTCGTGTGGCCTTCTCCGCAGGCGTCAAGTCTCTTTATAAAAACAGGAAGTCAAAGCAAGCTACTACTTCCAATTCGAGTATTTTGTGACGACGTCAGAAAAAAAGATTCCAAGTTGCAATTGCAAGAAATAGAGTCACTGATGGAATATAAACACGAGATTCTCCCTGTTGAGTGGCGGAGAAAACCAAAGAGGGAAAGGTAAACTTTAAAGGTTGCTGACTCCTACAGCTGGAAATTTGTTTTTGTCGATGTATTTGATTGCCTCTTGCAGAGACTGAATTTCACAGTTTTGTTGTTAAATCTGTTGCACAGCTGGTCGGAAGGTCACATCAACTAATTACTGATATGCGGTGATAAACATTTTTCAGCCTTCAATTTATCAAAAGGAAAGTGTTTAATGAAATTTTGTAGCAATGAAAGGGTTTATTATTTATCTTCTGTAAAATCTTGGTACAACTCTTTTGGGATATTTTCCCTGCATCGTGAGAAATTCCTCTTCCCCTGGTATCAGACTTTCAACTTTTTTTTATGGGATTATCATGAGCACCCAGTTAAGATGCAGCCTTTTTAAATTCATTTTCTGTAGGACGCTGGAGACATGTCAGTTGTCAGATGAATACAAGCTGTCATTTACCACTGACTCTGGATGTTTTCATCTGAAAGACACGAACCGCATCTACGAAAACGTCAGAAAAGAAATGTTTACAATCAAAGAAGGCGACCCAACCACTGCTAAGGTTACAATGCAAGGCGATATTACGTTAAAGAAAGAGGATCAGATCGCTGAGCTGGGGGGGAGTGGGCATGAAAGGTGGGAAGCTAGGGTCCAGGCCTTGAGCGAGATGTGGTGTGATGAACAATTCTTTTATGTGAAAAGTCAATTAACAGCTTGGCATAACAGTGAAGAGTGCTTTGATAGGACGTGGACAAAGAAAATAGAACGCTTTTATGTTTAATGGTTTTTTCAGCAATAATGAGAAAATTTAGATCTAACCTGTGAGAATTTTATGAAGCAAAATTATTTTTAAACATATTTCGTTGATTTTAGATTTTAGGATGAAAGTAAGCGGTGAAACTTTTCAGCGGCTGCAAGTGATCTATACAGTTGTTGCTTAGGGAGAAAATTGTTTTTTGGAGTCGTCAAAATATTGATTTTATCATCGCTAACTTTTTTAAACATTTGTTATCCAAGGCTTATTTGTCTTCTAAAAAAATTCACGATAATAAAAGTAAGTTATTTCTTGAACCCTATGTAAAATTTAGTTTTTCAGTTTAATATTGCTGGTTTAAGTTCAGGTAAGCCTCGTTCATCTAAACATATTTTGCTGGTGTGAAAGGGGCATTAGTTTTTTTCGGTGGAAGGAACATGATTGTGTTGCGTTGCAAAGCAGTCTCGTACCCAGACCTTCCACGGCCAAGGGATGGGAAGGATTCTTCATTTCAGCTACAAATATGACCTG